CCTGATAAATCTTCCTTCCTCCTCTTCATATCAAATTAGGATTATTTAAAAACTTTGTCAAGGCGCTACCTACTGATTCGAAAGGATTTATTTATCTTAAAGATAAATTCAAAACCACTCTCACAAACGCAAAGATAGCTGCAGGAGTTTTTACTGGACCACAGATACGTGAAGTTATTCGTGACCCAAATTTCAAATTACAACTAGAGCCTGTGGAGTTGCTGGCTTGGGAAGCGTTTGTGGCACTGGTTCAGAATTTTTTAGGAAACCACAGATCAGAAGACTATGTGAACTTGGTAGAAAACTTCATAATGGCATACCAAAACATGGGTTGTAGAATGTCCCTAAAAATCCATTTCCTCCATTCCCACCTTAGCTTCTTTCCTACCAATTTAGGAGCTGTCAGTGATGAACAGGGAGAAAGATTCCATCAAGAAATCTCTGTTATGGAACACCGGTATCAGGGTCGTTTTGATAGTAACATGATGGGGGATTTCTGTTGGTTTCTACAGCGTGAAAGTGAAAGTCAATATAAGCGCAAAAGATCATTATCGACAAATTATTCTTATTAATTTAACTTTGAGACATTACCTATGTAATAATTTTGATTTAAATAAATAAAAAAACAATCAGATTATGAATATGTTTTGGTTTTGAGTATTCTTGAGCACAGCTGAAAATGGACTAATTTAGCACCTAAAATTCACAATCTTTTAGCTGTAACTTTATAACCTGACGTCCTATGACAAAAAGAATAGCATATTTGTAATCAGCATACCCAAATTACCCTAGAACAACTAACAAAGTCTGAGTAGCAAAAAACTTGTTGCATAGTGTTATACACTGCAAAAGAGACGGTCCAGTTTAAATCCATACAAAATTGACAAAATGTTATTTATTAAGAGTAACAGTAATTTGGATGTAGATAGTTGTGATTTATAATGTCAATAAAAGCATTAATGTTGTTTTTCATTTCTTGCGGTGCGGTTGCGGTGCGGTTTTCGGCGGTGCGGTTGCGGTTTTCAACGTTGCGGTGCGGTTTCAAATGTTGCGGTTTTGTGCGGTTGCGGTTTTTGAAAATTCCAAC